TGAGGGTTTGTGTGGGTGGGATCTCTTACATTATTTCTCAGAGTGATTTTTGTTCAGTATTACCCAAGTACAAGTTCAGCATGTGAGGTAAAAAGGTATCATCAGAATGGAAAGAGAACTACAAAACAGCAGAGCAAAGAATATGTGACGAGTCACAAAGCTGCTCTCACCTCATGGCCATTCTAATAAGGTGTATGAGAGATTGAGGTCACCCAGCGAGGTCTGAAGGTACCTATATTCCCTTGACACAGGCCGCGAGGGTAATACGTCACCCATTCATGCAATTCACAGCTTTATGTCCATCTTCGGCAGATATTGTGTGTTTTGAAAAAGTCTGAGGTCCCTGAAGTAAAAATCAATCCGTGAATTGTGCGCCTTCCCTTGTTTGAAGTCTATTGTGGCTTAATTCCCCAGCCAGGTAACACAAGAATGCCCCCTTTCTTCTGGGCATAGTTGATCCACAATATTGGCTACTGGTCCTTAATTCCTCTCTATGCAAGGTAACTCTCCAGCTTCAAGTCATTCAGACTCCTTTCTCTCCATTTTGAAAGGACGGCCTGTGTTGTGAAACGAAAAGGATTCAATAGATGTGAATGATTTATTCAAGGGAAAGCATCAAGGCTTTGGTATGAGAAGCAAAGCGCTATTCTTTCTTGAAGGACACACGTTCGTTTGCAGCACCACAATGGGAGCATATTCTATGCCAGTTTCAATCTGTTCCCATTTTTTCCCTTCATCTTTTTTTCACATACAAATGAATTGATAAGAGGCAGTTTTAGCAGAGAAAAGTTTTGCCCAAGATATTTTATGCAACAAGTCAAATTAGATTGGCCAAAATTTCGTTACCGTCACACAATAGAGTTATTTTCTGTTTCCAGGGTTATTCAAACTATACCCGAGCAAGCTAGCAATTGTAAAGTGTGTTTTCATGTTCGAAGTGTCAGAGGAAGCTGTCGGCGCCACCGTAGGTTAAGGCTGCGATGGACATGTTTTCATTTTTGCTCTTGTGCTTTTTTATAATTAAGGTGAAATATATTTTTTATGTCTGTTCATTTATGACCGTTCTTCAGAATTCAAGCATATCAGTGGATATTCATTACTTTTTGTAAATGCATTTGCATAGCATGTCGATGTTTCATCTCACCTCATCTTTAATCTTCCTCACTCTCTTGAAAAGCCCATTTTGCGGGCCGGTTTCTTTCGCTTTGACCTTCTAGCATAAATTCTTTAGCTTGGGTTGTTCACAGTTCGAGATGCCCTGGGAGTAACACTGCAATCAGGATTTTGTACACTTTTAGGCACCCGATAACTGTCCGACAGTTCCATTCTTCCTCATGACCTTTTGGCAACATGATTGCTTGTGCATGTTAAAACAAGAAAATATGGGTAACATTTCAAATGATTCAATTATACAAGCTGTTGAAATGCTCCACTTCCAACCTCAAAGTGTTCCAGTCCAAACACATCTTCTCACCTCTACCCAAAAATCTCCAATGAAACACCACTTTAGTCTCCACCATCTTGGAAATGACACTTTTCATTGGGGTTGACTGATCTGCAGTGTACCACAAGGATACATAATACTACTCCAAGGTACTAATATGCACATTTTAGGGGTATATAAGGTACAATAATGTACCTTTAATGGTACTGCCCCAGTGTCAAGCAGTTTTACCGCATAAAGCAGGGGTTCTCAACTCTTACAATTGCTAGAAAGTTACAGACAGGTGAGTTTGATCAAGGTTGGAGCTAAGCTCTGTAGGAATGTGAGCATTGAGGGCCAGAGATGAGAACCCCTGCTGTAAACATACAATTTTGCACTTTTTTTATTCTTAAGAGTGTAGGGTCAAATGATCCTTGATTAATGTACTTTTTTGGCTCTACAGTGTACTTGTGGAGGTCCATTTTGTGCAGCGTAGGAACTAAACTACAGCAGTAAAAGGAATGCTTTTTTTCACGTTGTGATGAACTCCAACGCACAAATTACAATGGCTATTTGCTTGTGGATCAGTGTTTTCACCCTGTTGGTATTTTTTGGTGTATTAAGTACACTGATGAATTTGCCTGATGAAAGAGCAACACAAACATGAACAACAAAAAACGAAACAAAAAACGACTGTATTTTTATTAACTAACATTAACACGGATTAATAAATAGTGTAATAAGTGCATTGTTCCACGTTTGTCTTCTTGTTGTTGTGTTGGGTTTGTATACAGCGCACAAGGTTTATGTGCATGCTCCAGGTCTCCTTCTCAGCTTTTAGTGTATCTCTGTGGCAGAATTACAGCGCCACATATTGGTCTGTCGTGTGTATGCATATTTCTTGAGACAATGCCGTGTTTATCGGATAGGGAAAGCTCTGGGCCCGGTTGCATGAAAGTCCTTAAGCTAAGAAATCCCTTAGTTATAAGGTTAAGGGAACCCTTAGTGCAAGAAAAATCCTAAGGGTCAACTTAAGGAACCTTAAGTCTGTCATTAAGTATTCCTCTTAATTATCTAAGTGTTCCCTTAAGCATTGTTACAAAGTCTTTAGTAACTATTTCACCAAAACAGCTCCCTTAAGTCATCTTAAACTCAGTATCTGCAGAATTTCTAAGCTCAAATGTTAGACTTAAGACATTTGTTAAGACCTGCACAAATAAAATATCATATGAGCGTAGTAGGGCAATGACTATGGTAACATATTAAACTGTAAAATGACTGTAAAAAGCATGACTTACAGGATTTTACAAAACAAAAAGTTTTATATACATTTTTTAAGAAAATGGATGAGTTGACTCAATTATTATATTAATTTAAACAATTATTATTAATCATTACATTAAATAATAATACAAATGTAATGTATGTCTTAATTGTTTAGATTTTTATAATGCATTATCTTCTTGTCGATCCACCTGTTCACATTTACAACTCTGCATGTTTTCAGCGTCAAAACATGGTTTAATTTTCAAATTTGTTAAATTTTCCTTCATTGGTCAGCAGGAGGCGAATTCACTTTAGAAAAAAAGCGGTTTCCTCGGTAACGACTATACACAAAGCAGCGCAGAAACGGGCAGCGCTCGTTTATTTGTTCGTGTTTTAGTTGGTTAGGTTTGTATTTGGTTATGTTCTGTTGCTTAGTATAAACACTTAGGTAAGGGTGACAGTTAAGATGTTTGTTGCAACGCTCTTAAAGAAATCCCTTACCTTAGGGATTTTTTCCCCCTCAGGAATACCCCTAAGTCAAATTACTTAAGGACTTTCATGCAACCGGGCCCTGGCTTTTTGTGGATGAGCCCTTAGATGTGCAGTGCTGAAGGTACTCCAGGACCATGTTTGGGAATGACTGTTTTAAACTTTCATAGCAATAAATGGGCTGCTTCCGAAATCGCATACTCTCCTAAGTAGGTACTTTTTTGAATAAGTAATTACTTTACTTTGAGACCACAAAAGTAAAGTGTCCATCATATGCACACTTCAGAATCACGCCTGATGTAGTAGGTCATCCGGGTACTTTTTGCCTACTCTTTTATGACTACTGTGAATTTGGACACATTTTGTCACATACTATTTTTCGCCTACCATTTATGGCGCTTTTCCACTGCGTGGTACGACTCTGCTCGGCGCAGCTCAGTACGGCATGGCACGGTTCGGCTCGGCACAGTTTGCGTTTCCACTGCAGTTCAGTACCGCTTTAGAGTGGGCGGGATTATTCACATGTCGTTATAGTTGTGCCGCCTCTACTACCACGGCTCCTAAAAAAACTTTTTCATTCCGTGTCGCCCTATCAAGCTCTCGCTGGATACGCTCCTCTGCTATCAACGAGAGGAACGTCTGTTCTTCCACAACAGACAACACAACCTTTTGGTTGTTAAAAAAAGGTGCACTCGTTCAAAACAGTTGCGTTCGATCCTTCGCTGGCTGTGCTGATTTAAATCTAGCAGTTCTTTTGTGTTTGTGTCGCAAGTTCAGTGACGCAGGTAGTGACGATTCTCTCCGGCCAATCCATGATCAGCAGAGTTTACACGTCACGTTTTGGTAACGGTACAGTTCACTTGGAACCCCAACCGAGGTGGTACTAAAAAAAGTACCAGGTACTGTACCCAGTGGAAAACCCCCAAAAAGTGAACCATACCGAGCCGTACCGTGCCGTACCATGCAGTGGAAAAGTGCCAATAGTAGCGAAGTATGCGATTTTGGATGTAGCCAATGTCTTTCTTCAGCTATGGCAGGGGTGTCCAATCCTGCTCCTGACGGGCCACTATCCTGCAGAGTTTAGCTCCAATCCTAATTAAACGCACCTGAACAAGCTAATCAAGGTCTTCAGGATTACTAAAAACGTCTGGGCTAGTGTGTTATAAAAGGTTGGAGCTAAACTCATCAGGACATTAGCCCGCAGGAACAGGATAGGACAACCCTCAGCTATGGGCACATTTGGAATATTAATCTCCTGAAACACTAGTCTATTTAATTTGTCTACTAACAATGTCCAACGGTATATGTAATATAATTATTATTTGCCCCTGAAAGTAATTGTTAAAGTAATATGAAAATAGTTTGTTTTTCCCATTTTGTTTAAAGTATCATAGTACAGTAACTCCTAATTTTATGTTGGATTTTCATTGTTTGAAAGTCTGGTACTGACACAAGAGTAAAAAAGTGTATTTATGAAAAGCGTTTAGTAAAGTAAAGAAAAAATAAATATAAATAAATGTTAAAAGTTAATCCATTAGTTTTAATAAAAACCACATTGAAAAAAACACCCATATATTGTATAATATCTCAAGATCTTTTATACCGTTTCCTCTGATATGATGCTATCAGTTTGATGCATAATGCTTTTTTCACTATTTGGTTGTTCTCTTTTGCTCTTAAATCTCTGAGCAGACCCTGCTTCTTTAGAACAAAAATAGTTCCGTCAGGGGTTAAGCTGTAGAGAGCACTCCAAAGATCATTATTCGGGTCCTCATTGAGCACACCTGCTGGCATTAAACTAATCACTGGCGTAATGATAGGTTCAATTGAACCTCCAAACTCACCTCGAATCACTCAGGAAATAGACTCCATTCTGATGTTTTCTACCGCCAAACAAGGGAGACAAAAGCTGCGGCTCTTAATTCGCAGGTAAGCCATTCACCGTTGTGGCCACAGCCTGCATTTAACTGACAGAGTGACTCAAGCTTTTGCCAGGGCTCATTTTTGGCTGTATAATGGTGTCTGAAGATTCCTCCGAGTCCATTGTGACGAACGGGGGTACATTATGATCATTTAGAGAAAAAAAAACGGAAATGTCCCAGAGGGCTTTAATCTTTCTTCATTATTTCCCCATTATGGATAAATGCTCTCTGAGGGCCTCTTTCTGGTTATAAATGAAACACTTTGACTCCTTCTCCATCCCTCGTTCTTCTGCCTGCACACCTTTCACCCTTTGCTTTCATCTTTTACTTTGGGATATCTCGGAGAATGAGGCGGCCGTGTGTATTGCACTTGCAGATAGAAGGATAATTAAGTTGATAAACAGGGGTTGAATGGAGTTAAGTGTTAAGGGAGCGGGGAGAAGCTCTCTTCTCTATTACTGATGGTGTATTACCACATATGCATTGAACCTGATACGTGAGTCACCGAATGTCATTTGAAGATGGTACCTGTCAGAAAACAAGATCATATGGATCAACAAACCAGCTATTTTGAAGGGGTGGCACTGAAATGACCTCAAGGGCATACATAAAACTGCCAGTGTTTCCTTTCATGCATATAATCACGGCAAAAAACGATGGGTTATTTTTTTAACCCAACTGATGGGTTACACATTGGGTCACTATGTTGGGTTATTTTCTAAAATGTTGGGATATTTTTTTAAACATCGTTGGGTTATTTTTAATAATAACCCAGCATTGGGTTAAATTGGTTCCCTCGGCGACGGTTCAAATTTTAATGGACGACAAGTGACAGAGTCAGGCAACAGAAGAAGCTGCTGCTGAGTCGGTATGAGGTGAGTAATATTGGTTTTTGATACATAACTCTTATAACATTATACATAATATATAAAGAAATGTTAAATGCACTCTAAAATGGAATGGGTTTAAAAAAAAACAAACAAAGTTGTAGTTCCCTTTAGTCAGTGTATTGCACTCCGGAGAATGAGCTCGATTGTAAATGAATAACTAGCTGTCCCAGTTAGGTCGCTAGCAGTAATAAAGTAATTTAAAAAAATTAACAGAAAGACTAGTGAAACTGTTTAGAGATGTATTACAGTTACCCAACATTAATAATGTGTGGTGAAATGTATATGTTAACGTTAGGCCTAACGTACTATACTATAAACTTAAAGGGATACTCCACCCCAAAATGAAAATTGTCTTTAATCACTTACCCCCATGTCGTTCCAAACCCGTAAAAGCTTTGTTTGTCTTCGGAACACAATTTAAGATATTTTGGATGAAAACCAGGAGTTAAGTGTTAATCTCAGATACAATGTCAACTTCATATATAAAATATTTTCCAGATAATATTTTTGCAATTTTGTTTACTGCAAGCACAATATAAAGGCCTAATTGAATTGTTTTTATAATAGCATATATACATATTTTTTTTTTTCCAAACCGTTTTTTATAAAGTTGGGATGCAAAGAAATCATCATAATAGAGGTCCTTGGCATCAAAAAGTTTAAAAAGCCCTTGATCCATTGTGTGGGGAATGCATTTGGGAAAACAATTATATTGTTGAACTATACTGCAGTTGTGAGACTGAAGTTGTGCTTTTAAAGATATGAATGAGTTGTAGCCACAGTTCATACTCGAGGCCAACAGCCTCAGTAGCAGAGCAATTTGTTGTAGCGCTTTAGTCGTTTTCAACGGTAACATCAACACGAGTGTAGAGGTGCTATAATTTAGTGACTGGAGTGTTGTTATAGAGGTTCAGAATGTGTCTGGGAAATTTGTGTGGCTCAGCAATAGTATCTTGCTCATTCTAGCAACGGCAGATCTGCTGTTGTGTATTTATCCGGCAAGACCACAGCCGTGCCAATCAATCCGAAGAAAAACCCAACGAAATCCTCTCTTTTTATCCTTGAAAAACTGCATAATGAAGAACAAATCAAACCCGGCTCATCTGGAAAAAAGAATCTGAATAACATTGGGAGATAAAAATAAAGCAAAGAAATTATTAAAACAGAATGACATGACGTGAGTCTAGAATGCCAGTGAGAGCAACCGAGAGAAAAGGAACGAGGAAAAAAAACAGTTATTTGGATTAAGCACGCATTGGGGAAAAAAAAGAGAAGAATCTAAATTCTCGGGTCCTAATCTCTTGCTCGAAGCGGCGCTCTGTTAAGCCCTGGTTTGGGATGACAGGTCCCCCACCTGGACAAGCTTGGACAATGTCTCTGCAATGTCTCGTTTCTGCAGGAACAGTGAGCCACAGACGGCTAATCACGTCCGGAACCAAAGGCACCTGCCCTATCTGCCTCTACATTTGGTGAGGAATCTTTAAAGAGGCTAAACCTCACTTTCATGCTTGTCTTTTATTCACGGTAAGTGCTTATCGAAACCGAGCTGTTGCCACTGCCCCGTGTTCCCTCCCACAAGCTCGGAGAATGCTTGACGTAAGTACAGCCAATCTGGGTAAATATGAATCTCTCCTTACTGTCACTGTTGGCATATTATGTCCCTGAGGGAACATTCTTTTCATAATATCATAAGCTGCTTAGCGGTGTGCTTCTATTTAAGGCATACATATTAATAGCTATAAGGAAATCATATTTGAACTGTTCCCTGCAATCAATGTCTTTAGGATTGCTGTTATACTTTGTATAAGAAGGTGCTAATAACTTGGAGGCTCTTAGACTGGGCGATCTAATCCCTTTGTACGATAAAGACTTGCCACGCCGAGAGTGGTTGCTAGATCGTGGACCAGGTGCTTCAGAGGGTTAGTTCTTAACGTCGTACTCCAGCTCTGCGCTTACCCGTGTTTTGTCTGCCATTTTTCCCTTTTTCACTTCCCAGAAACCTGGCAACATGCTGAAGAACCAGCAGTAAATGTGCTCGGTTGCCCATTGAGTGCCTCGGACAGTGAATGATGACTGATGTGACTACCAGGATTTTTCCTCCCTCTCTGTTATACTCAAAAAGTGCTTGGCTTCTTGTATTCTGTCTCAGGCAAAATATAATATTTGTAAAATAGCAAGCTATGTAACAAAAAGACAAATACAGAGTTTTGCAAAGATGTGTTAATAAACTGAGGCTCAGTAGGATGCTTGAATGAATTGGTTTGTTTAAGTATTCCATAATAGCGCTCATTGCAAGTGATTTCACAAGTGATGAAAGAACTTGTGAGAGTGGCTTCGACTTAAAATCATTAGAAATATAATTCACAAATACACAAGTTATTTTAATAATCAAGTTTAATTTTCATAATAGAAAAAAAAGGCTCATTAAAAGAATGACATTTTTGAAAAGTTGTAGTCATCTACTTTTTAAAAAATGTGCTTTTGGCTTTTTTGGACAGGACAGAGAATTGACAAAGCAAAGTAGAAGATGGAGGCAGATGGGATCTTTCATTAATATTTCTTAGAAAAAAAAAAAACGTTTTAACAATTTAGCTCTTTACACTTGTATTTTTTTTTTACACTAATGTTTTACAATGTCACGTGTTGCAACCAACATACAGAAGAAACATGCAGGAAAAAAGGAAGTGATATAATAGAGAAGACCCCAACAGACCCTCATGACTGTGTGTCAATGTCAATAATTGTCATAAAATATCAGACAGTTTGGCTTATCAGGTTTATTTCAGGTTGTCATGTGGTGCAACTCCCCCAGCACTTTGAACTATTCATTAATGATATTTGTAAAAAAAAAAAAAATAAATTACCTTGGGAAAAATATTTCAACTCTTTTTTTCTGAAAATGATTAAAACGCATACCCACGTGTATTCAAGCCGTAAGGAAAATATTATTTCTGTATGCTTGAGTTTTTAGAGTCGTTCAATATACACTTGTTGAAAAATGGTTTGAAATTTTTTCAAAAGCATATGAAACCAACATGATATACAAAGAGCACAAAGATAGTTTCCTTTTCTTTATCATGGACACTGTTATACATTATTGATCTGTGTAACCTTGCTTCATAGTAGTAGCATTTCATATTGAGAACCACTGTAATGCGAAGACTCACTCGAAGACTAAACTGTGTGTATGTGCCCTGATGACTCGAGACCTCTTTTTACCCAGCTTAATTATCTACAAATGTCAGATATTGTTTACCAGTCATTCTTAATACAAAGACACAGAAATATTTGGATGTGCCCTCATTTCTAATTACGATGGGCTAATTGCTACAGTAATGTGCTCATTAATTAATGCTCCAGTGTCAGGCCCGGATCGCAGATTTTACAACATCCAGTCCTTTGGCATACATATCAGTGTTATTTGCTGATATGATTTACATATTTTCTTTTTAGCACAGGAATGACTTAATATGAAGGTAATGTTGGTAAAATAACACATTTGCTTCTCTAGCATCTGAATCAAGGACACATGCTTAGTCATGTTTTATCTCCACAGATTTGTGTTTTGAATTAATCTAAAATGCATGAATATGAGATGAATAAATCTTAATTCCAGCATCATTATTTATATTTCAGATCTCCTAGCCCATGTGTCTTGTGCCTTTTTATTTGCATTGAACAGGCATGCAGTGTTTAGAATGTGAGCGTTTTATATTCGATGCAACAGATTTTCTCCATAGGCCTCCACGATCAGCCAGATTTGAGGTGGTGTGGGTGGCCATCGGACTGGATAGTGGGTAATACGTCTGTGTCACTGCACATGTCACCACCAGGAGGGGCTGGATCACAGTGTTAGGCAGGACGCAGGCAGGAAGGAGAAGAAGCAGAGCAGGGGCATGGTTCTTTGAGCTTAGATGAGTGCCTCAATTGTGAGAGTATGTTCCTCTAAGCCTCTGGTTGACAGCAACACAGTACTCTTATTTAAAGCAATTTCAAACATGTCTTGTCTGACAAGTTTTAAATCCTACTTAACACCCCGTAACAGCAACGAGTTTACTGTCAGAATTAAAGAGGCGAATTCTCAGGGGGGGAGAAATTATCACTTTCATTTTGTTCTCCTCTGTTCTGCAGAAGGGACATGGCAGGGATGTTTACCTAGGGATGAATACATTACTCCCCATTTGCAACACAATGCCTTTCAGTACCATGAAAGGCTGCTGAAAAGTTTACCTTATATTTTAATTGCTGCCATTACAGATGAGGGAATGAAAGGGAGTTTCAGTCGCTGCGGATGATGGGATGTCGGGTCTTAGGGGGCAAAGCAGATGTCTCTGGAGATCAAGCTGGTCTACATGAGCTCTGTCGGTAATGGTTGTAAATGATGTGGAAGAAGTCTATCCTTTTGTTCATTTGAAGGTGTTTCAAATATTATTTTTTTCTACTGTAAAATAATAAATCCTTGAATTAAATGCTAGGTATTTCCTACATTCTTTTTCAGGGGTAAGAATTATATTTTAATTAATTTTTTGAACATTTAGTGCAACAAAATTTTTGAAAAGAAAAAAAAAAGCATTCACATTTAAAGGGATAGTTTATCCTCCTGTTGTTTCAAACCTTTCTTTTTTGTATACTTAAAAAAAAAAAAATATATATATATATTTTTGTAAATAAAACAAAGATTGATTATGTTTTGCAAGAAAATACTTTAGTCTTTACTCTTTTACAATTTATACTTTATATTTCCTATTTTGTGTGCAGCAGAAGAAAGTAAGTAACAGTTTTGAAAATGCAAACAATTATAGAAATTTTGGTTGAACTGGCCCTTTAAGTTTTTATTTTCTTGTGTTAGTAGCATTTGTTATGGTGGCCGAGAGAGCTCAACGCGCTGCAACGTAAGAAAACAAATGCAAATTGAAAAAAACACCAGCAAATTAAGAAAACATTTCAGTTTGACAACACACGCGCTGCAAATCCTCACAACACATGCAAATGAAGAAACGCACTGCAAGTAGCAGGGACCACAACGGAAATGTTTCAAGGGGACCCAAAAAAGTGACGGACGCGGCTGGGATTTGTTTTGTGCAGTGGCTTTT